GTTAATTTTTTTTCTTTTTTTGACAAGGATGTCTTTGGTTAATTGGTTTAAGTATAGAGAAGCAATTTCAGCGTTAGTTTCTGTGATTTTGCAACGAGCTGTTGTCCTCCCTAATCGTATTGTCTTTGTATTGTAATCTACATGAAAAAATAAAAATAAAAAAAATCCCAACTACCAAATATTAGGGAATGTTAAATAATAATGACAAGTAAATTTAATCATGACTAACTAATTAAAGGGTCTTTTTAATATTTATTTTTAAGTATATATTAAAAATGTAATTATTATATTTTTTACATTAATTAATATTAAAAAAATTAATTTTTATTTAAGTAATTATTTAATTAAAATAATTTATGTGGTATTAATAATAAAATTAATGATAATTTTTATATTTTTTAATATTAATTAATATAAAAATATAATAATTATATCTTTAATTTATATCTAAAGGTTTATGTTGAAAAAAAATTTTGAATTTTAAAATGTAATAGAAAAACTGTAAAATATCCTGCTAGGGAGACTATATGCATATAGCCCATTGTTTTTGTAAAAATGACCACGCAAAGTCTTCTTGTGTTGGAAAAAACTAGGAATCATGTTTGACACTGGTTCCATTACCTGCAGTCCCAACTATCAAATATTAGAGAACGTGTTAAAGACGCAATAGCCTGGAGTGGAGCAATGATCTGCACACATCTAGAACAAAATTAGTCAAAGTCTGTGGTGGGGTGTTATCCTGACTAGTGGAGAGGTGGGTTCAAGTTATGCGTGATTCAACAACTTCACCAGTGGATTTAGATCCAAATCTATATTTTGAAAGGACAAGATGGAGTGGAAAGATTTGATCAAGAGCAGCAGTATCTCTTGTTTTGGAAGAAATTGGACCACTTTTAAGTCTTCTTGTTTTGGGAATAATCTATCAATAATCATGCCTGCCATTTGCTACATAACCTAAAATGACAATCACATTCAATAAAATTTCAAGTTAATAGATTAAATATTTTAAAAAAAATTATATAATTTTAAAATATAATATAAACTCTTACATAGTTCACTAATACCCAAATTTAGTTCAACTAAATTTTAATAAAATTGTATTTTAAAAAAAGGCTTAGACACTGAATTTAAGTCAAGTTCAGAGCAAAACTTTATCTTACAGTACATTGGATTGGATGTTGAATCCAATACCATGCAATCCAACGCTCTTCTTTTAATAGGGTCTGGTTATATATGAGGTATAGGTAACCTGAAATAAAAGAAAGGGCTGGGTTCTAATAGGAATACATTCAAACATAACTTGATAGGTTTTCTATGATTATTTGTTGAACTAGTATGTGGTAGGGTGTAAGGCAGGATGTCCTGAAGTATCTTTGCATCTTCCTATTGCATGAGATAGGGTCTAGGCCGTTTAGTTGTCAATTATGTATAAGGATTAAAAAACTGTTTATACTCTGATTTTTAATATATATTAACTTTTTGTCATTTAAAAAAAAGTACCTTAATAAAAGAATATCAATGAAAATTATTATTTTTTTATTTTAAAGTAATTATTTTTTTCAATTAAGAATTTAGAAATAATTTATGTATTTATTTATATTACTCTTTAAAAAATTAAAAGATAAAGTGAAATTTTTTGCGATAAAATAATTAATTAAAATAAATAAATAATGATAAGATTAAAGTAGAAAGAAATTTGTCTATCTTAAAAAACAAAAAAAAAAAGCAATTAATTTAGGACAAATTATTAGTAAAAAACACTAATTATTTATTATTATTTTTTAATAAAAAATATAATTTTATTGATATATAAAAATCATGAGGGTTACAGGATCAACCCAAATGAGATAATATGAAGGGGTATTACATTCATAAAATGTGTGAAAACATAAAATCAAATAATCTAATATTTACATGAGTGTTGCAAGCAAAACCTAATCTCGAGATTTAGCAGTTTAACTGTATTCAACCATAATCCTTATAACTAGAAGTTAAATTGGTTGGGGTAAAAAAATTTAGTTAGGGACCATGTCTCCAACCATGCTTTCAATAGCGAGCACAACAATTAATTTAAGTCCAACCAACTTGCCATCCCTATTCAACAGGAGTGAATCCCAATAAAAAATATCTAAAATGCTTAGGCAAAAACCTTAAAAGAGAGGGAGAAACTTGCAAAAAAAGAAGCCCTCATAAGGGAAAAGAGAATTCTCATTTTTAACGTTTAATTTAAGAAATCATCTATTAACTATTACTCTTTTTTTTATTCTAGTTTAATAGCAAGTCAAATTTTTAAGTAGAATAGATTAATAACTTCTCTAAATTTAATTTGTCGGTTGTATAATCATATATTTTTGTTATTTTAATTTATTTTTTCAGTTTTTTTTAACTTTTATATTACCTTAGTTAAGAAATTTTTTTAAATTTTAATCAGAATTTTTTTAAAATTGAGTTAATGACTAAATTTAATTGTAAATGTCTAATATTATTTTTGTATATGTGATAAAATTATTTATTAATTCTTGTTAATTTACTATTTTTAAAATTTTTAAAATTTTTTGATTAATTGTTACTTTTTTAATATTTGAGAACTAGTTTTATAAATTTTTTATTTTCATTTTAATGGAAAATTAACAAATTCCTTTGGTTTAGGAGTTGAAATTTTTAAACTTTTAAGTGAGGTGCTAAAAACTCTATTAGATAAGGTGATGGCTGACAAATTCAAACTTAGTAAGGTAATGGACTCAATGTATGTTTTAGCCATTTTGTTAGGGCTACATAATTTTTTATTTAGCTGTTAAAAATGTTAATAATTGTAACTATTAGTTGATAAAATAAGTTATATTTATTACTTAACAAAATAAAATTTATTTATAAACTAATATTTTAAATGAAGTTAGTGCATATCAATTTCGATTACCAAAAAAATTAGAGTCTCAACTTATATTTAAAAACTAAAATCTTAATTCAAAATTTAAAAAATCCAATTAGTTTCAAAATCTAAATATTAATATTTAAAAAGATAAAATTTTAAATTTTAAATTGAATTTTAAATTAAATAAAACGACATAATTTAAGGTTAAAATTTCAATTTGTTTTAAAAGTTGGGACTGATATGCGTTAACTTCATTTTTTTCTTTTTAAATACTATAACTAATGAATTTTTTTTAACAGCTTTAAATTGATAAAATGAATCAAAACAAATACATTGGCTATATTATTCGTGGAGAAATATTGGTCATCTTCCATCACGGATGACAAGTGGCCAGTGGCTACATTGTCCAAAAAAAAAAAATTTTTTGATGAAAATTATGTTAGTAATTCTATCATCACTTGTTCTATTGTGCAGAATATTAACCGCTAAATATTAGTGAATGTTAAATAGTTATGATTGCAAGTAAATAAATCATGAGTATGAAAAACAGCTAAAAAAAATTTAACAAAGCTACATAAATCAAGAGAATGTATGCACAGAAGCAAACCCAGGATTTTATGTTTGGGGGGCATTGCAAAGTTACAAAAGACAAAAACTAGATAAGTAAACTTTAAATTTGATTAGCTAATGTCAAATAAAATGGATTTGGTAAGAATTGTGAGTTGTATATGAAATTAACACTCACATTTCCGAGAACTAAAATCATATACTTTAAATATAAAGATCCTACTGAAAATTGATGCGCTTATTTATGTCTAAATTCTACTACGAAACAAAATCATTACTACAAAATATTAAAATTAATATATATCATATTTTTTACAAAATTGTCATTATCAATTGCTAGTTAGTTGGTGAAAAGCAACAAATATAGCACTGCAACAATCATATTGTGTAAATAAAGGTATTTTCTAAAAGTAAAAGCTATATTTACTTAGAGTAGGTAATGACCACGCAATAAAATTTGTTATAAACTCACTATAACCAAAAAAATTATATATATATTTAATAGAATTGCCAAAAGAATCAGAAAAAAAAAAAATCTTTCCATTAAATATTATCCAAGAAATTGAAAAGTGAAATATGGCATACAAAAGAACCTTCAACAAGATTATGTAAAGGAAAGCCAAAATTTTCTATTAGGGTAATTTTGTTGTTACAGAGAATTCTTCTAATGTGACTTTATTTGTCTTAAGAATTTAAAGGTGAAATAATAATTTCTTAAGAATTTGAGTTTTTAAATGTAAATTGGGAAAGTAGAACATCTGCGAAGGCAGGAGAATAACCATTAATGAGAACCAGAGCTGTTAAGGAATAAAGAATGATGAATTTCAATAGAAAAGTATAGATATCAAAATTGGATTTCTTTACAATTGGGGTTTTATTGTTTTCTCAATAATTTCAAAAATTCCATTTAAATAATTTCATATGTCAAAATTCAATTAGGTCATGCATGTCACTCAATTTTACATAATAATGAATATATTTTAATTAGTCATATCTCAAATAACTTACTTAACAAATATATAATTTTTTTCAATAGTCTAAAGCATTATCTATAAATTTAAAAAGTTCAGGCACTTTTATGACAATTTTTTAAAGTTCTTGGGTGGCCGTGTGCTCCATGGCTACTATATGGCTCCTGCATACAGTATGCATACAGCCCCGTGTTTTGTGAGAAGGACTAGTCGAAGTCTTATTGTGTTGGAAAAACCTAATACGTAAGAATTATATCCAACGCTTATTCTATTTTATTAGGTATTTTCGAAAAGAGGGAGTAGTATTCCATAGCTTTCTGTATCTTTCTATCTCTTGAGGTACTTCTTGTGTGTGTGTGTGTGTTTTTTTTGGAATATTCCCTTTCTGTTTCTTTCATGATTTTTAATATTATCATTCACTTTGCCCATTAAAAAAAAAAAAAAGATAACTAAATTATGCTTTTAAGTTGACTTGAGGTCAATAACTATATAACCATTGACTAGAAGTCAATGAACTTGTATTGTAGCTTTGCCTTCGAGCTAGCTTTCCAAGGAACTTTATAAATAGGTTCAATCCAATTCACCCAATACCCTTCAAAAATTTTTCTTCCAATCTTATCATGGCATTATCATTTCGAATCTTCCTGCTTCTATCTTTGCTCATTCTTGCTTTTGTTTCCTTTGTGGCTTCTGTGGTTGTCTTCAATCAGACAGAAACTCTTCTCAAATGGAAAGATGATCTTGACAACCATAGCCAAATATCCCTCTCTTCATGGGTTGGGGAAAGTCCCTGCAGTTGGGTTGGAATAGCCTGTGATAAGGTTGGAAGCATCACCAACCTAAGCCTTCCAAGTTTTGGTCTCAAAGGTACACTTCACAATCTCAACTTTTTGGCCTTTCCTAAGCTTATGAAGATTGACTTTTCCAATAACTCACTTTTCGGGACCATTCCTTCTCACATTAGTAATCTCTCCACGCTCATTTTTCTTAACTTGTTTAAGAATAATTTGTCAGGTCCAATCCCTGCCTCCATGGGAAATATGAGCAATTTATCATTTCTTTATCTTGGCTACAACAAGCTTTTTGGTTCAATACCTCAAGAGATAGGATTGCTTAAAAACCTCATTAGACTTGGATTGTCTTCTAATAATTTGTCAGGTTCAATCCCTATCTCCATAGGAAACTTAAGTAGCCTACATCTTCTTTATCTCTACAAAAACAAGCTCTCTGATTCAATACCTCAAGAGATAGGATTGCTTAAAAACCTTGTTGAACTTGATTTGCATGCTAATAATTTGTCAGGTTTAATCCCTATCTCTATAGGGAACTTAAGCCGCCTATCTATTCTTTATCTCTACAAGAATGAGCTCTCTGGTTCAATACCTCAAGAGATAGGATTGCTTAAGAACCTCATTGAACTGGATTTGTCTGAAAATAAGTTGTTAGGTTCAATCCCTGCCTCCATAGGGAATTTATGCCACCTATCTCTTCTTTATCTCTTCAAGAATGAGCACTCGGGTTCAATACCTCAAGAGATAGGATTACTTAAGAACCTCATTAAACTGGATTTGTCTGATAATAAGTTGTTAGGTTCAATCCCTGCCTCCATAGGGAATTTATGCCACCTATCTCTTCTTTATCTCTTCGAGAATGAGCTCTCGGGTTCAATACCTCAAGAGATTGGATTGCTCCAAAATCTCACTGATCTAGATTTCTATTCAAATAATCTATCAAGTTCAATTCCAACGTCCATAGGAAACTTGAGTAGATTAATTTTCTTAAGTCTTGATTCCAACAACTTTTCAGGTAATCTTCCTCTAGCGATGAATGCTCTAACCCTTCTACAAAATCTACAATTGTCTGATAACAAATTTAGTGGCCCTTTACCAAAAAATCTTTGCTTCAATGGATTCCTCCAAAATTTGTCAGCATATAACAACCATTTTACGGGGCCAATTCCAGTTAGTTTGAAAAATTGTACAAGCTTGTATAGGGTAAGACTTGAAGGGAACCAACTCACAGGGGATATAGATAAGGCTTTTGGCATATATCCCCATTTGAATTATATAGATTTAAGCAACAACAAGTTCTATGGTGAACTTTCTTCGAACTGGGGGCAGTGCCACAAACTCACAGCCTTAAAAATCTCCAATAACAACATTTCTGGAAGAATACCTGTTGAGTTAGCTCAAGCCTCGCAATTGCATGTGCTTGATCTTTCTTCAAATCATCTAAGTGGGAAAATTCCTCAGGAATTGGGAAGACTAGCATTGTTGCTCTCTCTTCAGTTGAATAACAACCAACTTTTTGGTGAAATACCATCAGAGATTGGAATGCTATCTGATTTAGAGCATCTTAACTTGGCAGCAAACAATTTGATCGGATCAATTCCAACTGAACTTGGAGAGTGCTTGAGGATGATAGACTTGAATTTGAGCAAGAACAAGATTGGAGAAACTATTCCATTTGTAATTGGAAATATATTCAACCTTGAATCTCTTGACTTAAGCCAGAATCAATTGATTGGAAAGATTCCATTAGAGCTTGCAAAATTGCATTCCTTGGAAATATTGAATCTCTCTCACAATGTACTTGTTGGTTTGATCCCAAGTGCTTTTGATGACATGCAGAGCTTAACTAATGTTGATATTTCTTATAATCAGTTGGAAGGCCCTATTCCTCATTCTAAAGCCTTTTGTGAAGCCTCATTTGATGCTATTAGAAATAACAAAGGCTTGTGTGGCAATATTATGGGACTAATGCCTTGCACTTCCATTGGCCGCAAGAAGAGCATCAACAAATTGGTGATTGTAATTGTTGTCCCAATTTTAGGTGGTTTGTCTTTGTTGATTGTGTTAGTAGGGTTTTTCCTTCTATCTTATCGAAAAAAATATCAGCCAAGAGAAGTAGTAGAATTTGAAGATTTTCTTAAAATTTTGGGTTTTGATGGGAAAACCCTTTACAAAAGAATTCTTGAAGCAACAGAACAGTTCAATTTTAGCTACTGTATTGGTTCTGGAGGATATGGAAAGGTGTATAAAGTGACATTGCCGAATGGTCAATTGGTTGCTGTGAAGAAACTTCACCCTTATGAAGATAATGAGCCTAACAATTTACGAGCCTTTGAAACTGAAATTGGTGCTTTAGTGGACATACGACATCGCAATATTGTGAAGTTGTTTGGATTTTATTTAAATGAAGAACACTCATTCTTGATTTATGAGTTCATAGAAAGGGGAAGTTTGAAAAAAAATTTGAGCACTATCGAAGATGCATTGGAGTTGGATTGGAATAGGAGACTAAACATTATCAAAGGAGTGGCAAGTGCCTTGTCTTACATGCACCATGATCTCTCGATTCCCATGATACATCGAGACATATCAAGTAACAATATTCTTTTAGATTTAGATTATGAGGCTCATGTCTCTGACTTTGGCATAGCTAAGCTTTTGAAGCCAAACTCCTCCGACTTCACTTCTTTTGCAGGCACTTTTGGCTACATAGCTCCAGGTAATTAATTTGATATCACATAATAGACTTTTATTGGAATTGTCTTGTTCTGTGAATAATTAAATTTTCATTTGTATGTAGAGTTAGCTTACACAATGCACGTGAGTGAGAAATGTGATGTCTACAGCTTTGGAGTGGTAACCCTTGAAATTCTTATGGGAAAGCATCCAGGTGATTTGATTGCAAATGTTCGAACACCACTTGGACAACAAATGTTATTGACGGATGTGATAGATCAACGACTACGACATCCAAGGAGGAATCAAGTAGCTGAGCAATTAGTTTATACAATAAAGCTAGCATTTACATGCTTGAATGCTAATCCCCAATCTCGACCAAAAATGCAACAAGTTGCTCAAGAATTAACAAGACATCAATCAATTCTATTATCAAAACCATTTTCAATGATAAGTTTAGGAGAATTGATTGGTGATGTGATTCAAGGATGAGGCTTTCAGGATTTGTATATGTATCATAAATTTGAGTGTTGTTATCATTTCTTTTTCTTCTCTAATATGTTTTACTTGCTTGTATTGGAGTGCTTTTGTTTCTTTAGCTACTTTAGTATAATGCTTGTCTTCTAAGTAATTAGGATTTTATTGATTCTCATGGTCTTGTATTATACTATTTCCAATCATGTACACAGTGTTGATTGGATTGGACTTTAATATTTTTAAAACCAAATTATTTTAATCGGTTAGTAAAATTTTCAAAGCAATCTAATCTTTTATTATATTATAAATAAACTAATCCCACTTAGATCGGATCAATGTGGTTCAATTGGATTGATAAGTTTTTAACACTATTTTAAATATATTTGATTAGGTAAAAAATAAAAGATCAAACTATAAAAACAAAATTATAAAGCACAATAACATCATAGACAATGAAATGATAGTATCAACTACTAGATTAAAATAAGAATTAAGAAGATGACAAAAAAAAAAAAATTCGTAAGAACTAATAATGCAACTAAGACATGTAAATCCACATTCTTATTGTTCAAAAAGTGGAGAGTTTTGAGAGTAAAGTTTTTGTTTGTATATGAGACAAGTTAGAGCTACACTATTTTTAATTAAGTTATGATGTGTAATTATAGTACAAAAATAAAATAAAATAATGATAACCAATACAATTAATATTATATTACAACTTTATAAAAATATTATACAAAAGAAATAAGAAAAGTAAAACAAGAAATAAAAGTTCAAAAAATATATATACCAAAAAAAATAAAAGTAAAAATATTATATTATTTAGTTTATTTTGTAATCATGCAATTCGGTTGGTTTGATGGTAAAACCATAAATAAGACTATTTATATCAGTTTTAAAATTTCACAAACCAAACTAACCCAAAGTGATGTTAGTTTGAATTGAATTTTAATTGGATTAGACTAGTTTTGGTCAGATCAATCAATTTGGATTGGATATGAACAACTCTAATTGGATAAGAACAACCTTAACTTCTTCTTAAAGAGTTATATGACCAATGAATCACTATTATGACATAATTTTCCAATTTTAGTCTAGTTGTTTGTGCCAAGCTTCCCTCTACTATCCTGCATTTTCAGGCAACCTACAAATATTAAGTAATTCATATGTTATTAGCTTTGAAATCTATGCAAAACAAAAGCACAATGAAAATTGTCTTTTCTACCCTAGTAAGATAAGATTGGCATTGATTTTATTTATGAAAAGTTCACATATTATCAAATATTGATAATTTTCTCCATACAAGATGAGAGTTTTAGATTAGCAAAATAGGCGTTAGAAAGCACAAACTTTAACAAGAGCAGATAATTCAAACAATGTACTATCAATAGAGAATGTGAGGACATAATGATAGTAGTAACAATTAAAATGCATTATAGAAGATGAAAAAATGATTTGAAAACTAACCTTAACTGTCTAGCCTCTCCTTCTTTTTCTCTCATCCAATTACATTTTTTTTTGAAAGGCAAAGTAAAATATATTATTATTATTATTATTATTTTGAGTACAATGAATACTTTTGCCAATGTATAAATAGCATTATGGATATGGTTAAACTTTTTCAAAGCATTACCAAACTCTAATTCTTTTCCCAAACTTGGATAAATACTTTAGATAGTTGGCTTTTTCGATTTGAAACTCCTTGCAAGATTGTTACAACATTCTATGAAGGAGATATCTTCCAACCCTAACTTTACTTTAACCTAGTAAAGTGGTCAAATTTGAATTAGCTCAAACAATCAATATTTATTAGCCTCATGACTCTAGAAAATCCTCTTGTTTTTGCCCAACCATAAGCTCCACACAATAACAAACCAAACTACAACTATTTACCAATTTTCCTCCTCCTTCTACCAATGTTGTTGGAACAAGCACAAATAGTCTATCTCAACCAAGTACTCTCCCTCATTACTTAGCTTCTCTTTTCTCCCTAGCCGCCATGTCTCTCCCTCTTTTGAATAAAGGTTAGGCAAAATGAATAAAAGTGGGAGTTTTATTTCCTTTACAAGAGTTTTTTGGCCTCCATCTTTTGGGGGTCTTTGCTTTGACTCTTAATATTTTTTATTAGGTTTTTCCTTATTTTATAAAAGGCGACAATGTGCTAGTCGGACAGATGTTGACAACCACTTAAAATAAATGAAAATTTAAGTTTTTATGATAAAAAATTGGAGTCATCACTTGTCCAAATTGTAAGGTATGACAAATCATCTAAAATGGCCTATGCAAAGATTGGGGTTTGAGGGTACAAAAATGAGTGAGAAAGGGCATTCGCACAGTTTGCAAATCTTAGTGTAGAACATGGTGGCAAACATTAAAATTTGGGAGTTTATTTCAATTGATAAACATTTAAGTTAATGGCCTTAAATGGAACAAACCAAACATGCATAGATTTAAGTGTGAGAATTAAAAGTTTTGGGGCTTAGTTGGTTGAAATTGGAAATGGGTTTGTTGAATGGAAATAGATAAGTGGAGGACTAAAGTGAACAAATTTAAAAACTTTTGGGCCATATTTTGGACTTATTGGCATAGATTCGGAAAGATGTGGGTTGATTAAAAAAATAAAGAAATGTTGACTTTGGACCCTTGATTTCAGTTTAATATTAATTAATCCCAATTAAGAAATTTAAGCCCAATTAAAGTGATTAGTCTTGATTAATCAATATTAATTAAAGTTAATTAACTATTTTAATAAGTCTAAATTAACTTAATCAAATCTTGATTAATGCTAATTATTAAAATTAGATTCTTCTAGCCTTCCACATGTTAAGAATGTAGTTATTATACCCTTTTATATTAATTAGTATTGAAAAAATAAAGGTTAACCTTTATTTATGTAATTGTCTGATTAAAATAGTCCGTGTGATATTGGTTATGAAATTAATGACAACTTTTGTATTTTTGATAGAAAGTATAGTTGTATTAATGATTGAAACAATTATAATGTAAACCATACCTTGCCACATAGGTTGTGCAAGAAACATAAATAAGTTAGGAAGAACCTATAATATAAATATATAGAGCTAAGTGCTCTTTACAAATAGGACAATTAGGAACTAGGAATCTTTAAATAGGAGTATACATCATAGGGTTATCAATAGAGCTATTTATAAACTTAGAAATATTATTCTAGAGCTTTTATGTTACCATTAATAATTACATCTATTTTAGCATCCAATCCTAACATGGAAGATTATAGGACTTGGCAATGTAGTGCTTCCCAACACCTCAATGCTTTGTCCAAACTTAGGTGACCTACTAGCTAGCAAATAAATGAAAGGTATCCACCTGCATGGCAAGTGCAATGCTTGACCCAAATAGTCTTACTTTGGATGCCTTACTTGAACTAGCACTTCAAGAACTGTCCTCGTTTTCTCCTTCCATTTCATCTTCTTTCTTGGTGATTGAACTTGATTCATTTCGAGCCTTTTCCATGTCTTCTTCAAGCCGCACTCTGTTCTCTTCGACAAATTTGTCGTGTGCAAAAGGGAACATCCCCTAAAATAGAGGCCAACTCCTTTTGCAAGTCATTCTCTATGTTAGGAAAAATCTGCACAAAAGAGGTCTAAACTCTTCTAATGTCAAAAGCCTCCAGTAATCTCTAAGCTTAACTCACAACCAAGCACCAAATTGTTTCTCAACCTTAAAACCCAATTCCTTCAATCTAAACCCAATTTCACAATCATTTTCAATATAACCAATGTAACCCCAAATACAATAAAAATCCAAGAGACACTCATACTTAATGTGCAACCTTCTAATTTCCTTTCCATTTGATTTGAATAGTGGCAAAGTGTCTCAAGGGTTGCTTTACTGTGAACCCATAAGTATTTAGCATGATCCTTATCAATGTCGAGCACTCTTGTTCTCCAACCAAAAGCCCAACTTGTTCAGATTGTAAAACTAGAGGCAAATCATGTAGATTCACCCAAAAAGGATTTTTCAATACTAATTAATGTTAAAAATATGAAATAATTGCACAATTAACCAATGCCTTATACAAGTTAGGGCACATGTTGAAAAAGCTATTAAAATTAATTAAGGCAATTAATTAAACTAATTAACATTCACTAATGGTCCTTGCCTTGCTACACAAAGAATTTTGCTCTAAATTTATATTCACTAATTTGTTTATCTTTTATTTTGTGAAAAATTGGGCAACTTTTGATAAATTCTCCCCCAATTCTTGAAGGAAAGAGGTGTTCCACTTATTTTTTTGATAAAAATGACAAGTTCTATTATTCGATATAAGTTCTCTTGATCAATCAATTTGAAATTTAAAAAGATAATACAATGAGATTAATTGTGAATTTAAATTAAAATTTTAATAAAGTAAAGTTTGAATCTCAAATAAATGACCTCATCTAAAAGATCTTTTGTTATATAAAATTCAAATTAGATATAAGTAAAATTTTTCAATTTTGTTTATTTTGTAGATAAAAGAATAATTTTAATTTGAATATATCTAGCTTTTAGTTGTTAAACAATAAAAAGTAAATGGATAATCATCATTCTAATTTAAAGAAGAAAATATTAAAATCTCCAAATAAGATCACAATTTGAAAGTAGATTTAAAAAATAAAAGATTAAGATTAATTAATAAATAAAAGAGTTATCTAAACACTAATAAAAATTTTAATTCTTTTTTTAAATTTTAGGGCTTAATTGCAAAAAAATTTAATTAGTATTGATTAATTTGATTAAAAAAAAATTAGATGTTGGGTCAAAAGACTTAATTTAACAAATCATCTATTAATTTTTATATTCTTTTCAGGTTCATCTATATTTTTTGGATTCTTCCAATCCTATCTATTATTTTTCATACTCATTTTAATTTTATCTAATCTGTTATCTTTAATGGAAATCTTCTTATTCTACAATGAAACATTAAATCCTCTAACTATATTTCTTCTGATCTTTTAGTCCTTAAATTTATATTTGTTGTAAAAATAGCATTATTCTCATCTTCCTAAATTTTTTAATTCTTCTAAAGTTGATGCTATGCAAACTTTATAAACATATCTATCCCATGGTAACTCATCAATGTCATAGGGTATAATTCCTTCTTTAGCTTTAATCTTTGTTATAATATCAATATATTGATCATAAAATCTTACTTTCTTAATTCTATTCTTAATAATGTTGTTTTATATCTTTCACGCTAGCTTTTTGGGGGATTTTCAAAACCTAACTCAAACTACTGACTAATAAGTAGCTAGTATGTTAAG